ACTACAACTGAAATAAATCTGGTTACAAATAATGTAGAAGGTCACTGTTGGTCAGGTTTTTGACTTCAATGCTGAACATAATTTTATAAAGTAGGCCTATTAGGTCATTAACGTATATATTATAAAAAGTTTAGTCAAAATTGTACAGTTGGATTTTCGAAGTGTTTCTGTTTTTGTTTTACAAATCTTGTTTTGAGATATAATTTATATAAAAAGATAATTTAATAACGTACAAACTGCGCATAAATGAGGCACAAAAGGCAAAGGTTCGTTGGTCATACATTTTTAATTCGAATGTGGGACACCGAAAAGAAACTTATTTTCTGAGCGGAGACGGCGGTATGGGAACATAGGTGTTCAGAATTTCAGAGATATAAGAGGGTTGTTGGAATCGAAAAGCCTTAAATTACAATAACAGGATTTTAAAAATAATACATTGGCGAATAGGTAGCCAGTGCAGGTTTTTCAGGATGGGAGTGATGTGGTGGCGCCTGGGAGTGAGGGTGCATTTGCAAACAGCAGAATTTTAGATTCGTTTTAAACGTTTAATTGAATAAATGGGAGGCCAAATAAAATAAATTACATATAATGAAGTTTCGATGAAATAAAAGCATGATCTAGTGTTTCTGTTGAATCCGAGTTAAATAATAATAATAATAATAATAATAATAATAATAATAATAATAATAATAATAATAATAATAATTTTATATATCATAAAATATTTATGAAATTTACAAATCAATAGAATTTAAATAATTTATATAAAATAATGACATTACTTACATTAAATAAAATAGGGACTAATAACAGTAAATAATAATAATAATAATAATAATAATAATAATAATAATAATAATAATAGTAAATATATTAATAAAAGTAAATATAATTATAACATTGAATATTATAACCTTCAAGCGGATACAATTAACATTTCATATCATACAGACTTTCAAGTCTTTTATTAATATAATATATAATATTAATATAAAGCCTGGCGCGAGCGGGGGAAGGGAGGCATCCCCTCCTTTGGCCAAGCCTGGACCCTTCCTCGCCCCCGACGCAACTACGAGGTCGTCGGCCGCGGTCCAAAATACAATAGTTTGCCTATCTCTAACGTTAAGTTGATTGTCAATCCCTAATATTGTGCCTAAAATCACAAATTCCTAAAAATCTGTCTATCCTGCCTGATAAGTTCATGGCAGGACCCTGATCGAGGCTCTGTCGTCCTTTTGATTAGGGCATCATGTCGAACATATCGGCAAATTTATGGGGCACCACACGTGTGTATTTTATAATATTACTGATATATTTATTTCCTTAATATATGCATATTTATTATCTTAATTGAACATTATATATTTATTATAATTATGCTTATCGGACTTATTTGCTTATTAGAATAGAACAAAAAGAATTATTAAAATATTCCAACAAGCTATGCTAACAGTGTTAGCATAGCGTTGGAATGGCTTAATTAATGGACTATAGTTGTAATAATATCCATATGATTAGACACAGTTTATGTACAGCATGGTCTTTCAAAGTATAAAAAAGCACAGTATAAATATTGAATAGATATGACATGTGTTGGAGCATTGTATGCCCCTATAATAGTACTGATTCTGAAGGATAGGCCTATACACGTTTAGAAATGCTCGGCGGAGACAAATTATGAGTACTGTACTTCGGACACAGTTGCTAACTTACAATTTTACAGTTAAACATTTCTATGAGAAACAATCCCTGTCAATTAACAGTTTGTATTTGCTGTATGCTTTTTTACATGATTCATTGGTTGGTAACCTAAGATTTTTTTTCCCTGTTAATTAAGTGAAAGTTTTTTTCTACTTCCATCCTGATTTCGATCGTTTTAAATAAACTATTCAATTTTTTAATTGGGAGACAGCCAAACAAACAGTACGACATATCATAGAATATCGTCAGATTTGGTATAATCAGTGTTTATTGCTATATAAATCTATGCCTATTACTTTTTATTTATATTGAATATGAACGAAATTTTTGTGAGAAATGAACATTATGATAATACTGTACATTTTCTTCTAAAACAATTCCCTGGTATATTGTGTGTATGCCGTACTGTACTCTATATTACTGCATTATTATTACTCCAATAACCGACCAGATTCAACTCTGTTTTTTCAGCATGGTTTTTCCTCACCTCCCCCTACCTTCCCCAGCGAGGGGCCATGAGGGCCCGTGCCTGTCTCTTATACACATCTAGATGTGTATAAGAGACGTTAACAGGGGCGGATCTATGTGACCCCCCCCCCCCCCCCCCCCCTTTTGGAAGGTAAAAAAAAAGAAAGAAAGAGAGAAAAGAAAAAAATAATCGCCGAAAACGCCTCAGAGGTTATGGGCGTCTAGAACACAAACATTTCGCGTGGGCATTCCCCTGGACCCCCTGGGATAGTGTTATCTCTATCGGCCCCACTTTCGACCCCCCCCCACTTTCGGACATCTCTGGATCCGCCCCTGGTTAATGTTTCACTGCTTTTAATTGACTTTCGGCAAACTGGGCAAACTGGTACTCAGCAAACTGAGATTCGGCAAAGTGGTCTCCGCAATCTGACATTCGGCAAACTGGATTTCGACCATCTGGCCTAGATCCCCCTTTCGGCACCCCCTTTCGGACATCTCTGGATCCGCCCCTGGTTAACGTTTCACTGCTTTTGATTGACTTTCGGCAAACTGGTATTCGGCAACTTGGGATTCGACAAAGTGGTCTCGGCAATCTGGCATTCGGCAAACTGGATTTCAACCATCTACTTCCCCCTCCCCCTCCCCCTCCCACTTGCCAATGCTTAAGTCGCTCCAACTACAAATGGCGTGGTATATTCATCCAAGCCTTTAGAAACACACCAAGAGAAGCTCTATATGGGGACCTGTTCCTTTTCCTGAAATACATAGCTTCTACACTCGAGGTAGGCCCTAGAGATAATAGGCCTATTCAAATACCGAACGTTAAAGGTTGTAACTCATTGTCTTTCTGATTTTGCTAATTATATTAAAATATTATTCATTGGAGAATACAATGAATATTCTTATATTGCTAACTGTTATGTATGTAATGATAATTAGTAATGGTAATGATAATTAGAGTACATATTCTATTTTATTATTATTTTATTACTTTTTAGTGATTTTCTGTTATACTTGCCATGCATATTATAATTTATAATGACATTTTAAACTGTATGAGTAGTCAATACATTTATTTATCTGTGCGGTGGCTCACATGTTAGCGGCTTACTCTAGCCTTAATGAGAGTTTCCCGACCATTAATTCATAATTTTATTTATTTATGTCAAGAATATTGTTATATTTCGGTCTAATAAAACAATCTGAGTTCTTGAGTTCTGAGTTCTCATTTAGGTTGGGTGCCATTTAAAGTAAACCATGACTTTCTTTATCAATTCATGATTTTTTTAAATCTAATTCTTGATGTTTTTTGTCCTGCCAAGGATAATAATTTTCACGAATTTTCGATTTAAACTCATGAAGAATGATCTATGTCTATGTCTATGTCTATCTACCTATGTCTATGACATACTTGTAGCCAAATATATTAATTATCTAATGAATTAGGTAAGCATAGATTACCAAACCTAATGCCTTAATACATGCCTATTGTCTATTGTTAAGACAATATATATTGTCTTAACAATATTATTGTTAAGCCACACTGTGAATTGCTCTCTAGTTTGATTAAAACTTGTACTGATATAAGATTGGACATTCTTTCAATTCTGGAAAATGCATGTCTTATAGTTGCGCCCTATTTTTGTTGGGTTAACGGTTTCAAAAAGTGTTAATACATGATTTATGTTTCTTTTTTTTAAATTATTTTCTTAGCGAAATACTAAGAAAATAATCACTTTTAAAATATTCTTCAATTAAGTGCAATCTGAGTATGGAAACATATTTAATTGACCAGAAAGACTTCATGGGTGCAAGCCTAAAATTCAAAATGAGATCAAATACTCTTCCATTAGGATCTCAAGATGGGTACCCAACAGTGATGTAACTTGCCATTCTGTATGGTGTTGAAGATATAAAACATATCATATTCAGATATAATTATCGACTAAATAATAGTAAAAATGAAGAATATCATGTTTTAGAAAATGATAGTATTTTATCATCAGTGACCTTTGTAAACAATTAAATATTGTTCTTGGGGGAAATGTGAATTATGACGATAATTATGATGCTGATGATATTTTTGATAAATTTTGCAACGCTTAGGAAAGATTATTAAGTTCTTAAGGTTCAATTTGTTAAGGGGCTGTTCATTGTACTTCATTTTAAAAGACTGCAAAATTCTCTGGGTTGGTGAGAGAGGAAGAGTTTACTCTGTTCGAACATGTTTGTTGGGGGACCGGATGATGGATTCTGGGTGACAAAATCATTATTCTAAGTTCTTGGGAAGGGGAAGGAGATCTTAGGAGTATATTTTGTGTTCCTCTACTGTGACGGTTATGAAAACAACGGATGGCTCCTAAGGTACTGGGTTTCATTGTTGTTGCTTGCTGTTCTGACTTGTTAATTTAATTTTTTTACACTCTGTACTGCTGTAGATGGCGGATTTCTCTTTAGTAGGAACTGTGCTGCCATCTTTACAGTGTATTAACTCGAGCGTTCAAAACAATACCATAGCGAGTACCTCATACAGGTCACGTAACTGATCAGACTCAAAAGGAATATGCAAATTACCATTGCCAAACTGAATAAACTAACGACATAATAATTATAATGCAATAGGCTTAATTTTAATTTTTACGTAGAGTAGCCTCTTGTGTCACTGATGATGCAAAGGCTTTAAACACACAGGCGGGAAAATACGATTAGGCCTATTTAGGGAAATAATATTTTATTTATAAGACGACCCTACTATCAATAAGAAAAATTGAATGAGATTACTATTGTAGTCTCAGTAAAATAAAAAGAAACAAAAACTATACATACCGTACCTATTATTGTTAAAATGTATGTGGGTTGGATCATCATGTTCAATTCGACTCGTTATAGCTGCAGCACATAATGAGGAAGACGACTAATCAACAAGTGCTTGTCAGCAAAGGAATCTCAATTGCTTTTTAACTTTCTATAATTAGAATTTTGGTTTAGATACTGCTTAAGCAAAGTTATTTTCAATAACGTAAATCGCGCCAACGATTATAAAATCATAACATTTAGTAGCAATCGAAACTTCAAATTGATTGAAATCTCTATTTTGCTAGTTTTGGTTGTTTTAATTTCAAAGTAAACATACCTGTATAGTGCAGTTAATATTATGCCTATTGCTACCTTAAAAGGAAAATAAATGACACTGATTACAAAAACCTAACAAGGTGTTTAATGATAACGGAAAGGAAGGAAAATTATTGGCCTGACAAATTCACTTTTATATACTGTAGCTAGTACTGCATCTAGCTGTATATAGCAGCAATTTAATTTTTAACGTACCAGAGTTTATTACGTATTGGTCAAATATCGGGTAGTTTACAATCGCGTTAGCTGCTCAGGGCTCAATATAGTGATAAAATATGTTGGTGGATTTCCGAAAATTGCCTTTCCTACATTCTGAAATAGTCAGTTAATATCAACGACATCTAGGTAATCCAAATGCACTGTGAATGCACAGTACGTATTCTTCTTTGACAGATTCATACATTCGTTCATTGGAAGTCAAACAAAATGCTTGTTTAATTTAGACATATGCCTAGGCCCTATCGGTGTTTGGAAACATGAAAGAAATGCTTCTAAAAATATACTCGACTAACCCGGACTACAGATTCATACAAAACTTATTAGTAAAAACAAGGAAAGAATTACAAAAAAGAGACAAGAAAAAACAATATTATAACAGAAAATATCAAATTGGCATTAACACTTTCGTAATGTTGGCATTAACACTCAAAATGTAATACTGTGCCAAGATTTGTACTGACAATGTGCCGAGCAAAAAAAACTCTCAATATGATTTTCTGTTGATAATTTTTCTGTTTTTCACAATAATCCGTTCTGCACATATTATCCCTACACATTCTCAATTCACCCATTGCACTTACAGATATTAGCATGCTGCTCCTGTCTGGAACGATAACTTAATCAAGCATGTTTATCTATTATTAGCGAGACTGAACTCCATCCCTATAGGCCTATCCCAGTTTGAATATAGTGGGACCTGCTTTTTTCAAGTCTAGCAAAGTGATCTATTTCCCCAGGATTTGACCTTTACCATTTTACCATATCTAAACATTAGGAGACACAATTATGTATATAGGCCTAGATTTCGCTAAACAACTCTGTAAATCATTTTGTTATATTGGCTCCCCATTACTAGTATTACCATTGTGCTTTAAAAAAAGATTTCCATATGAATTAATTGAAATGTATCACTTGTTTAAATATGGATCTACTTTAAGAGAACTCAATCTTGAATTACTGCTCTACAATCACGTCATATTCAACCGACACTAACCAACCGGGCCCGTTAACATTACAATAAATACAAAAACGAAAGTTAATAGAACGATCCCAGCTAACAATATTACTTTATAAGAACGTTATTATAACCAGGGACACTGTTTCCTGTTATAACTTTACAGTTTGGTGATGAAAACGTTATTTTGTAGAACCATATGTACGTACTTATAACCTATTCCACAAACCCTCACAACGTTTGAACGTTGTTACAACGTTGTGTGAACGTTATTTTGTGTCATACCTAACCACAATGTTCGCGAAAATTATAAGAACGTTTTGTGTTTGCTGGGATAATAAGAGTATACGGTGTAAAGGATACTATACTTTACAAATGTTTGCTTTACGTGCAATAATTCCAGAATGTGTTTTTATTATAGGGCCTTGTTATTGAGCGTGGCCGGAAGTTTCACCGACAGACTATTGACCGAAATACCATTCACCTACACCACATTTTAACGAATGCCAGTTTGCAGGAGGACCAGGTAATTTTACTGTTCCCTGATAGGACGTTTCGCCGACAGCCAATTTGCCAGTAGACAACAATTCGCTGACATTTTTGTGAGAACATGTTAGAGGATGAATGTGTCACAAGTGGCATACTTAGATGCTTTATTTTTATTCGGTTATTTCATTTCTGCGGAAGCTTATAGTGACCTTCCAGATGTTCAGATGACGAGATCCAGGATCTTATCATCTGATCATTTTTTTCTAAATGATGTACACATAACGAGATCCAGGATCTCGCCATCTAATTATTTCTTCATCTCTTCTAAAGTATGTACACATGACAAGATCCAGGATCTCGTCATCTAACCATCTCTTCTAAAGGATGACGGCGAGATCCAGGATCTCGTCATCTAATCATCTCTTCTAAAGCATGTACACATGACGAGATCCAGGATCTCGTCATCTAATCATCTCTTCTAAAGGATGTACACATGACAAGATCCATGATCTCGTAATCTAATCATCTCTTCTAAAGGATGCAGACATGACGATATCCAGGATCTCGTCGTCTAATCATCTCTTCTAAAGGATGTAGACATGACGAGATTCAAGATCTCGTCATCTGATCATCTCTTCTAAAGGATGTAGGCATGACGAAATGAAGGATCTCGTAATCTAATCATCTCTTCTAAAGGATGTAGACATGGTGATATGCAGGATCTCCTCATGTGATCATCCCTTCTGAGGGATGTAGACATGACGAGATCCAGGATCTCGTCATCTGATCATCTCTTTTAAGGGATGTAGACTTGATGAAATCAAGGATCTCGTCATCTGATCATCTCTTCTAAAAGATTTAGACATGACGAGATCTAGATCATCTCTTCTGAAAAATGTAGACATGGGGAGATCCAGAATCGCAACATTTGATCTTTTTCCTACAGGATGTAGACATGACGAGATAATTATCTAGACATCTGGAAGGTCACTTTAAGCTTCCGTACATTTCACTACTAACGGACAGATTCGCTATTAAATCAAGGTAGGTTGTAAGGTATATCTTTCTCTAGGTTTAATGCTCAGTCACTATTTAAGAAAAAAATCTCCATAAAAATAATCAAAATCCTCCATTTCTTTTACATGTCGCTTTATTGTTTGCCTAACTTGTACTGTACAGCTATTTTTTCAATTTTATAATGAGAATGAATAAAAGATACCGACCAATTAATATTGTAATGTATCTAGCTCCCACTTGTATATTGTAACTTTACTGTATTTTGTAATACGTCATATTCTGGTTTTGTAATACGTCATATTCTGGTGTATTTTAACAATTTTTAATATTATTATTTTAAAGTATATTGTGCATTTCAATTTTTCTTTAATTTTGCAAACAAAGTCACCTTGTATCTTGTAATTTTCGGCGAAATGCATACGTTCCCATCACACCAATAGATACGGGTGAGGCACCCCGCTCTGCCAATTTATGTCCACGGTCCTGCAAATTCCGAATAGTGTCTTTGGGCCCGAGGTCTGGGACACTAGAATTTAATCATTTAAGAGCTTGAGTGTTAAAGTCACTGGTTTTTTTTTCTGCCTTTCTTCTTTTTTATTTAATATTATTATTATTATTATTATTATTATCATTATTATTATTATTATTATTAT